ACCCAGCCCTGAGCCTTGCTTTTATTTCTTTATCTCTTTCTTTATTTTCCATCCTGGCTGCAATTTCCCGTCCTTTCTCTCCTTAAAATCTTGCTCCCCACCCTATGTCTGTCCCCATCCCTCGGTCCACTTCTCCTCCATTTCTGTTCAGGAAAGAGCAGGCCTAGCATGAGTATCAACAAAACACGGCATATCAAGCGGCAATAAGAATAAATACCTCCCCATGTGTTAAGACTGGGAAACTGTTCCCAGTCAAACTGGGACTGTTCCCAGTATGAGGAACAGGCTCCCAAAAGCTAGAAAAAGTGTCTGAGACAGCCCCTGCTCCTCCTGTAGTCCTACATGAATATCAAGCTACATAACTATAACATCTATAAAGAGGGCCTTGGTCAGTCCCATGATTGTTGGCTCCCTGGTTGTCGGCTCAATCTCTGTGAGCTCCTATGAGCCCACATTAGTTGATTCTGTGGGTTTGCTTGTGATGTTCTTGACCCCTCTGGGTCTCACAATCCTTTCTCCTGCCCTGCTGCAGGAATCCCCGAGCTTCACCTAATATTTGGTTGTGGGTCTGCATCTGTTTCCATCAGTTGCTGGATGAACTGAGCATTGCTTTAGACTCACTACCCAAAGTTTTTTTTTTTTTTTTTTGAAGAGCAGAAGTCATTTTACAGACTCTCTCAGCTGTGACATAGGTCATAAACCCCATGAAGCCGGATGAGCAAACCTCATGTGAGCCCTGTATCCTGACTGAAGATGAGAGCCTTCTGTGAGCCGTGGACCCTTTGTCATCTTTTGGACAAAGGGACAGAAGAGAAGAGTGAAGGTAGTGGCCAGAGACTTTGTCATCAGTGTAGACTCACATCCCACCACCTGGCGCACTTTATCAGACCTGCTCCACAGAACTCACTCTGGCCAATCTGCTCTTAGGGTCTTCATTTCTTTATGATCGCTCCTGGGTCATGTGAGATGTTTTAGATCTATATGTGTCTCTGTTATTATCTCTCTTATTAGGGTGGCCTCAGTCACAAACTCAGAAATGGTGTGGGACAATTATCTGTTTTCTGTCAATTATATTTTAAATAAACGCTGATTGGTCAGTAGCCAGGCAAGAAGTATAGGTGGGGCAACCAGATAGGAAGTAGAGGTGGGTCAAGTAGAATAGAAGAATTTTGGAAAGGAGGAAACCCATCTACCTGTAGTCCCAGCCCAGACCCAGAAGAAACCTCGCTGTGACTGCCTCACTGGAAAAGGTACCGAGCCACATGGCTATCACAGAGAAGAATAATGGACCAATCAGTTTATAACTAATGTGGACCTCTGTGTGATTTCTTTGGGACTTAATGATTGCAGGAACCAGGCAGGACAGATAAACCTCAGTCAACACGGAAAGAGTAGAGAAAATTATATTTTTCTAATTTTACACTATCCATTCAAAATGAATGAGAGGAATGCTATGAAAGAATGCTATGAATCAGGAAACCAACAAAACTCCACAAATTATTTATTGTGTGTGCATGTGTGCATGTATGGGTGTGTTTATATATGTGTGTGTATGTGTCTACGTGTGTGTTATGTATGGCCGTGGACATTTGCATGTAGATAGAGGAGGACCTCTGGTGTCCTGTTCTATTGATATTTGCCCTATTATCTGGAGCAGGGGTCTCTCACTGGGCATGAAACTGGACTGGCAGCCAGTAAGCCCCAACTCTATCTGTCACAGTGATGGGCCACACCCAGGTTTTATGTGGGTGCCAAGCATTTGAACTCAGGTCCTCAGTTTTACACAGCAAACAATACACATAATTCATTAATCCTATAGTTTAAAAGCAGAAATAATTTTGTCCTGCACTGAAGACTGCTCACCCTGCTCCAAGGGGAGTATCATGGCTGTGCAAACAGCGACAATGCTAGCATCACCCAGAGCTTTCTAATTGCTCATATTCTTATCTCTGACTGTTAAGCACTGAAATACTTGTGGGGAAGCACACAGGCTCGCTACACAAGTTCTTAATCCCTTAAGGCCATCATCTCTCATAGAAGCTCATTTCACATCTCAGCAGCTGCAAGCACAGACTGGAAACTGCCTTTAATGCAGCAGAGCACAGGCACAGAACTAACAGAATAAAGGGCTTACAGGTTCTCCTAATGAGATGAAGTTCAAACCATTCCTATTTCTGGAAATGGAAGCAGCTCTCTGCCGTTCTCCACAGAGCACACGACAGTGACCATCAGGACGCATTTCAGGGTATTTCAGCAGTTGGAGGGGAAGTTGACAGGAGTGTTTGTTTCAGGTGTGCAGTCAGTGACTGAGTGATTGATGCTGTTGGGTGCTTTTGTCATGTGCTTGGCAGGGTCATTTCATATAGGACTCTATAGAGCCCTGGCTGTAAAAATATTAGAATGTGTGTTTCAATGAGATGTTATCCACGGACTGAACTTTCAAAAGAACGTCAATGTTTTATACCTCACAATCTAACAAGGGCTTAATAGAGTTTCCATTAATAGAGTTTCCTCAAACTCTATTAATTGTGAATAGCAGCTCAAGGCTGGCTGTTACAGTGTACCGAGACAGTAGAGAATCGAGTGGAAGAACGGTACTGGACGCTTCAGATTGTGCAGACGCACCTGTCTGTCACGCAGTGCTCACTTAATACAGAATGTGAAGAAAAGAAAAAGAGTTGAGCTGAAACCTGTTCACCCAGAGTCAAGCCAAAAGGAAATCAGTCCACAAATACATCAGAGCCGGGCTTGCACACTGGTGCTCACGGTCACTGCATAGATCTTGCCACCCCTAGATTGTTTAAGCTCCCACCAATTATTGAAACCCACATTTATCCTTTTTTATAAACACCACAAAACTGACATTCTGAGCCTGAAGGGCAACCTCCAGCTTAGGGTTCATCAGCTCATACACAGGACATAGTGTCTGTTGGTGTGAGAAAGCAGTGAGGCGGACCCAGCTATTTTTAAGACTAAGAAAACACTTTCTGGGCGGGTGTAAAATGGTAAGTTCTGCTGCTCTAAGTCGAGTCTAACCACTTGTCTGGGACCTGTCTCTCCTAGGATGAAGGCATCAGTGCTTACGTGCTCATTTTTTTTTTGTTGTTGTTGTTGTTGTTCAGAAGTTACCTAAAATTTCGTGTTTCATTGCTTTCAGGACAAAAACCCACCAACAACCCCAATTTGTACTTAGTATCATGTGTTATTTGTCAAATTGTTTACATATTATTGATTAATGTTCATGAAGTTGTAAATGTATTTCCATAGGACTAAAAAAAGAATTTGCTTTCATCACTTTGAACTAAATAAAAAGAAACAAATACCCTTAAAAACAACAATAACAGCAACTCCAAAAGCACCTGCCTAAAGCTAGTGTTGTATCTTTTATTTGCTTGTTTTGATCATGGTCTGGAACTTATCATATAGAATGAACTGACTTCTAATTTCTTAGAAATTCTCCTGCCTCTGCCTCCCAAATTCTAAGGTTAAAAACTTAACCTACTACATCCAGCTTCCAACCTGCAGTTTCAAATCTGCAAGTCTTATTCGGAGAGACTCTCTGTATTCCTTTGCTCTGCTGGGCTTTTGACACAGGTCCACATTTAGCCACTGTCTTAGTTAGGGTTTCTACTGCTGTAAAGAGGCACCATGACCATGGCAACTCTCATAAATGGAAAAAAAAAACCCACTTAATTGGGATGGTTTACATTTTCACAGGGTTAGTTCATTATCATTACGGTGAGGAGCGTGGTGACTGGGAGCATGGCAGTGTGCAGGCAGATGTGGTGCTGGCTACATCTTGATGTACAGGCACCAGGAAGTGGTCTAAAATACTTGTGCATATATGAGACTTCAAAGCCTGCCTCCAAAGTGACACATTTCCTCCAACAAGTCCATTCCTATTCCTGCAAAGCCACATCTCCTAAGAGTGCCACTCCTATGAGCTGTGGGAGCCAATTACATTTTAAGTACCACAGCCACCAAGCACTGCTGCCCATAAAACACCTCTTTTGCATCTGAAACTGCCCAATGGCAACATCAGCTTCACATGATAGTATTTTAAAATGCATTTCCATGGATGCCTCACCTCTCCCTGAGCTTTCGGCCTCAGATCACTCTCCATGAATACAATAGAAAGAGCTTCCCGCCCAGCATGACTGGCAAACTGCTCAGCCAGCTCCTGCATTCTTACAGCGCTGGCTGCCCCAAGGCTTGGGCAGCTGTGCTCTGTTATACATATTGCTCTGTCTTCTAATTTGTGTCCTCAGATCTTGATCTTTGCATTTACTTTTGCTTATTTCTTTAGTGATCCAAGAGCTAAATCTCCAGGTAACAGTGGGTACTATTTAGGAAAAATAAGCATTTCCAGGAAAGCAAGTGCAAACTATTTCAAAAATTTACATTTATTTTTACTCTTTGCTTTATTCTTTTTTTTTACAAGTATGATTTCACTGATTGAAAATTTGTCCCTTAGCATTTTCTTGCAGTCACCTATATTTAACAGTCACAGCCTGTAAGTAAATACCAGATTTGTGTACAAGTTGAATGAAGAGGCTCTGTAAAGTCTCTCTCGCACTGTCGTCTACCCGCATAGCTTACTGTGAAGGCTGAAATCAAGACTCCCTTCTTCAGGACAGAATTAACCCTTGGGCCAAGGTACCTAACTTGCGTAGAATTTTAGCTCCCAACCACACCCTTGACTGGGTGAACAACTGACAAACCATATCTGTTTGTACAGATTTCATTATTTTCACTTTATGTGTATGAGCATTTTGTTTGCATGTGTGTATGTGCATTATGCATGTAGGTACATTGGATCCTCTAGAACTAGTGTAAAATGCAGACTTGCCAGGATCCTTTGTAAGGCCAGCAAGTGTTTTTAACCATTGAGCCTTCTGTTCAGCCCCTTGACCAACCATATTAAATGGCACCGTCTCCCAGGACAACCACAGACTCAAGATGATGCAGATCAACACTGCATGACACTGGAGATGACAAACCTCATGATACTTTTTCACCGTCTTTCCTGAGCTGCAGGTGCAGGACTTCCAGTTGACAGTTCCGCAACCACAGTTGCCCCCACAGCGCTGCACGAGGAGGCATCTTGGGAAGAAGACTGCATTGGTCAACTTCAGCTCCTCCCTGAGATTGACCGAGTGATTCCTGGGAGTGCAGCTGTAACGCTTGACCTCATCGTTGAGCCTGTCCAGGTCCACTGTGGGCAAAGACACACAGGCAGCAAGTGCATGAGCAGACTTGAGCATAAGCAAAGACTCTGAAATTAGATCAATTAATCTAATCAGAGATCACTAACGCAGGTGTTAAATTTGTCCTTGGGATCTTACTATGGTTGGAAAAAGCCAATTTCTCTTTTGATCCTACATGACATTCCAAATAACAACAAAATCATTAGCTGAAATTTGAATCTTCGCTCAGGTTACCCTATAACCTGTGCATGGGTAACATTTTTGAGACAGGTTTCATGTACCCAGGCTTGCCCTGAACTTGCGATATAGTTGGAAATGACAGAAGTCCTGATTCACTCACTTCCAGAGTGCTGGGATGACAGGCATGTCCCCCAAGATTTTGCCTTGGTATTTAAAAAATGATGCAAAAAGAAAAAAGAATTAGACAACAAAATGGTTCAGAGGTAAGAAAATGAAACATTTGGCAATTCAAATTAATTTTCTTTATTTTTATCTTAAAAACCAAATAAACACACACCAAATCCCTGCCATTATTTAAATATAATCTGAATCTTATAGGGGTGACATTGGGATATTTGCTCTAATGTTGTCTAATAATTTCTGATATTGAAGTATTTACTAATAAACAATCAAAAAAAGTTTTATTTTTAATTCCAAAGCTGATCAAAGTACTAGTGAGAATGGTACTGTAGATAAGCAGATATGTAGATAAGATGCATGCGTATACATGGAATTTTGGGTGGGGTATACAAGATGCATGTGTGTGCATGGAACATGGAATTTTGGTTGGGGTATACAAGATGCATGTGTGTACATGGAACATGGAATTTTGGTTGGGGTATACAAGATGCATGTGTGTGCATGAAATCCTAGGTGGGGCAAACTATGTGCATGTGTGTGCACCAAATCCGCCTAAGTGGGGCAAACAACGTGCATGTGTGTGCATCGAATCATAGGTGGCAGTAGCGCCTTGCTCTTCAGAGAGGATGTGAATTTACCATATGTTTTCTTTCAGTGGAAAGCTGTTGGACAGCTTGGAGCCTTTGTTTCCTCCTCTAAAACATTTAAATATTTAAAAGGTTGAATGGAGTGGACCTATTATATGATGAACACTGGTTAATATTCTTTATCTTAATTCATTTGATTCTCTCCACTTTTACTTTTACCCCTTTAAAAAAATCAATGGTTAAGACAAGATCTCCTGAGTAAATTGAGAGCATGGGGACCTTGGGGGAGGGTTGAAGGGAGGAGGGGAGAGGCAGGGAGGGGAGCAGAGAAAAATGTAGAGTTCAATAAAAATCAATAAAAAAGTCCATGGTTAAAATAAGGAAAGAAAATGCCAGGTTTTCTTTTCTCTATTTCTCTTTTTATAAGTAATTATTAAGTAATATGCTGAATGGGGATTACAATGAATTAAGAATGCTATACTAAATTTTTAAATCTAAGTTATTGTGATATTTAGTGCTGTCAGCTGACAGGGTTAATTGATAAGGTAAGATCCATCTTAAACATGGGTGGAAACATTCCTTGAGCAGGGATCCTGGATTCCCTAAATGAAAGATGATGTGAGCCTTAGCATTTGTTGCTGCTGACTCTTGTCTATGGATGCAGTGTGAACGGCAGCCTCCTCAAGCTCCTGCTGCTGTGGCTCCCCACAGTGATGGATCACAGTGTCACACTGTCAGCCAAAGCACAGTCAACTTTCCCAAGTTGCTTTGTGGTGGGGCATTTATCACAGCAGCAGAACAGCAGCCAAGACCATAAGTACGCACCTGTGTAGTTGTTGCATTGTAAAAGGTATTCTCAGAACCTGCAGCTGAATTCTCGGATTGGTGAACACCCCAATAATGTATTGCACAACTACAGTTAGAAGAAAATCCTGCCACCTGCTCTTAGCACCTTACCCTGTGCACCAGCCAGACTACTGCAGGAGAAATGTCACAGGTACTAGGCAGGCAATGCCATCCTCAGCACGCTAGCCTCTGCAAATGCCTTAGTCTTTACATAAACTGTTGAAGAGCAGGAAGGAGTGATTTCTGGGGCATAGACCAAAAGCCAAATGGTTCTGAGAGAAAGACAATTTAAAAAAATGCACAGATATGGGCCAAGAGTCCATTAACTTCATACCATCAGAAAACGTCACTGAGAGTAAGACTGAATGACCATATGGCCAGGTGACCCTTGAAGGGAAGTTAAATGGCACCTGGATTGATAGGCTGCCCTAAATGCCCTCTCAGATAGACAGCTGTGCTTTGATTCTCAAGGGCAGCTGTTATGTGCTGAGCCCAGGACACTGTGGGAACTCCATAAATGCTAAATAATCACGGCGCATAATTTACTGCTGTTTTTTCTTCCTTTGTAAAGACATGTCATAAGTTTAGCTATAATCAATCCAGCTTTAAATTGAATGAACTCTGTCTTGGGAAAGCAACCATTTTTATTGCTGCTAAATCCCTGCCAACAACTGCAAGCAAAAGAGGAAGGATTGCATAAACGGATTAAGAAGTGCAGCAGTCAGCCATTGCAAGTGTCACCTTGAGATAAATACTCATGCTGGCCTGTACATTATTGGGCTGGTAGACCAGGCTGAGATAGAGGGCTAAATCTGCTGCCAGCGATAATGACAATGCGCTTGTCCAACAGGAGAGAAAAGAGATGAAATTAAGTGGGGGTGGGTGGGTTCATGACACCCACAAAGGCAAAACCAGGGGCATAACCACACTGAGCTGATTCCTCACTGCAGCCTTGTGCTAGGAACTTCCACACATAACTACATTGCTTTGCCCCCCCCCCATCTTTTTTGGGAGAAAAATGAAAGTGAAGGGAATATAGGAAAGCTGCAGTTAATGCCCTTGCTTATTTTAGTCCATAGCCTAACAAGCAGAGGCCACTGGTGGAAGGAAGAAGACCAACACCACTGGACCTGTATCAGGCTTTCTTAACAGTCGCGGAACTGAAGATGCGATAGTGAGTGGCCACACACCCTCGCATGCAGGGTAGCTGAGCCAATTTGCTGCATGCCTTCTCCATGAGGTTCCTTCAGCAATCCAGGCAAAATACACAAGTCTAGGTCTCCTTGGAAAGACGCCCCCTTCCCCCGTGTTGCAGAGATGTTTCTTATGGCCATGAACTGCTCACTTCCACTTCTCGCATGAAGAGATTTACGCGGCTGCCAGTTAACGCATCCAGTCACTGTGACAGCTGTAGCACCAGGGGAGGGAGGCTGCAGAGGCGCTTCGCTTAGAACAACAACGCACAGATTCTTCTGACTGGCTGCAGATAAAGTGACAGCCCAGTCACATATATTCTGCACCATGTACGGAGTTTCTGGTCAGTACAGAGGTGAGCGAGAGCTCAAGGCTTCGGGTTTTCCAGCTGGAGGGAGCACTGCAGTGTGAGTTTCCCTGGGGACTGAAGAGAGGGGGCTGCCTTTCTTTTGCCGTTTCCGTCTCTGTGGCTGAACAGCAAAAGAGCAGGAAGGATATTCCAGACTTAATTCAAATGCTCATCACTTTCATCTAATTTTCTTTATTTCACCAGATTTTTTAAAATATCGCTTTGGCATCAGTTAATGACCGGGCACTCTGCACTGATAACGCTCTATCTAGAAATGGTAAGAAGGTTCCAAGATGTAAACCTCCTTCCGAACATAGCGATCTGGGGTAGAATGTTGTCCTGTGGGTCAGGGTTAGGAAGTACCTCCTTATTATAACCTCAACCCTGTAGTGCAGCCCAAGTGTGCTGTGGTATGCATTCCCTCTGTATTCTAGAATGAGGATATGAATGGACACCTCTGTCTCGTTTGTAATAGATGAGGGCTCAGGCAGGGGGCAAAGCCAGTCTGTCTTGTCCCTGTCTTTTAGACTAGTAGTGTGAGAAACTGTACCATGTTCTCATACATGACTGCATAAAACATCCATGTAATGGATGAACAAGGCTATGAACAAGCCTGAGTTTACTTTCATGGCAGAGAAAAGAAAATCTTTGAAAAATCAAGAAAGACAAAAACAAAACCCAAGTATCTCTGGTTCCTCTTTTAGTGATCTGCAGGTTTATTTCCCCTCCCTACTGTGTGGGTCCTAATGGGAGCAGCAGACACAGTTCATGTACAATTCTTCTTTTAGAACCACATGACAGCCTCCAGTTGAAGCAGGGTCAAGCCAAAGAAAATACACCTCATCTTTATGCCAGATTTCTCTTTTCCTAAGAATTGACATTCAATAACTAACAACTCCATGAATGAATTGAGGAAATTATTCATATTCTTTTAGGTATAATCGTTCCAATCACACACAGAAGGAGAAATAATTCAAACCAGATCATTGTCTCATATGCTGGGATGCTCTTCTTTCTAACCTAACCTAGGAAGTGGTCTGAAAGGTGATTAATAAGAGCTGAGAAATCAGAGCTGTAGAATCAGCTGTACCCTGGAGACAGCTGCAAGAAGATCCATGGCATCTAGGGCCTGGCTTCAAGGAGACTGCCTCTCAGATGGTCCACAGTCCTTGCTTAATGTGGACCATCACATCGAGCTGGTAGGAAGAGCTACTGAGGGGACACTGATGCTTCAGCGTAGACTTCTAGCCGTGAGGTGAGAGAGTAAGTGAGTAATTGTATGACTGAACCAAGCAACCAGACGCTCTCCGCTGTTTCAAGGTCCATAACTTCCCCAGGAGAAGTCTATCCACTTCATGGGATTTACAATCTCACTGGGATTTTTCAGGTGCCCTTTTCTATAAATCATGCCCTAATTGTACAAACTATTTCTAAAGATCAATCAAAATTGGGAAAGAACCTCACAATTATTTCATAATTTTTAGAAGAAATTGGGATAATTTAAACTTAAAATCATGAAATGTTCTAAATTTCATAATTCCCTGTGTAGACTGAATATCCTAAAGAATAGAAATGTTTACCATTGGGGCAATAAAAATTAACCTACAACACCATAATTCTCTCCAGTCAATTGCTGATTTCTGAAGTCAAAAATATCATGAAGCAGTGTGGT